TAAATGCGCTCTGTATATCGTGCGTATGCCTTCCCCAACCCCACCCACGCCTCCTACCCCCGCGCGCACGCTGTCAGTCATACGCGCGAGCACGCACTCGGTCATAACTCGCGAAAAGCCTATACTGTACACCGGAGCGCGGCGCTCGCATGTGCCGATAATTCCCACGAGGAATCGACAACTGCGTGTATGGGTATAACTCGAAAGGAGCAAATTGTTGCCCGGGATATCATCGTATACGTGTGCGTGAGCCGAGCACGCGACGATTGTTCGATGTCGAAACGAATGACGCAAGAGATTTTTTCGCTGCCGATTTGTACGCCTCTGTCTATCTCTCTCTCTCTCTTTCTCTCTGCCTGAGTACACCGTGCTGCTAGCAGGCCTTTGTCCTCATTCCCTAACTTTTTGTATCATTTTTTGTTGTTGTTTTTTCGTCCTCGTCGTCGTCGTTTTGTTCATGCTCACTTTTACGCGCGATGTTCGCTTCGTATACACGTACATAAAAATTCGAGGTATTAAAGGTCGCGAGGTTAAAAATATAACGTGCGTGCACTTAGAGTGATTGATGCGCGTGCGAGTGTTTCGAGGAGAAAATTGATTCGTGCGTGGCTTGTATCGTTTCGTATTATGAATATTGAACGCTGCACTCTGCTTCTATCCAATAGTTTTCTCATCTTCTTCTTCTTCTACACGGTCGTCTAATTTATAATCACTTTTTTTCATAATTTTCTTACACTCGTAAAACGCACGGCTGTACCGGGGCTGATAAATGTTCAAATTGCTCTTTTAATCCTCGCTACGAGCGCATCGCGTGTAGCACGCGTTAATTCAAAAATGAGAAAAGTTGAGCCATTTCAGGTTAACCGCGTCGTGGCGCCTGCCTGCTGCAGCGTTCGCTCGTCGTCGTGCGTCATATCGCGACAAGCTCGATGCATTTTTAATGCAGCGGCAGCAAAAAAAAAGAAAATCTCTACCAGAGCTTAATGCACAGCCTTGGAGGTAAGAGATTTTCCGAAGAATGAAGCGATCAAAAAAAATTAAGGGCGAGAGAGAGGGAGCGAAAAAGTCACGAGACGAGGTATATAATAATAAAAGACGAGGACCTCCTCTGTGTGTGTAAGTGTGTTGGCACTTGCAGCCAACGCTCGTCTCGTGGTCGACTCTGGTACGCGTGGTTAACGCATCAATAATTCACCGCGCAATCTCGTTCGCTATGATAATCTGCTCTCTCTCTCTCGCTCGCTCGCGCCCGACCCGACCGAGACCTCGTCCGCCCACGCACACTACTTTCGCGCGGAGAAATATTCATTACGGCATTTTTCTTCGCGGCTTCGAGCGCTGGTATATATGCGTAAAGTATATGTACATTATATACATGTATATTTATTTTGATTATCCAAGGGCTGCTGCTGCTGTAGCTTCGTACTCACACCTGCATACACACAGCGTGGCTCATGAATTATTATTACATCTCGGTATGGAAATGACGACGTTTGAGTAATTCGCGTCGAACGAGAACGACGACGAAGAAGACGATGTTTTGTGCCGAGTTTTATATTGTATACGTATTGAAAAATCACGAGCGAGCAACGAGCGACATTCAAAGTCTTCTTTCTTTTTTTCTTTATCGCTGATCGTGTACTTTTTTTACGACGCGTAAACTTGACTGCAGTTAGAAAAGGAAAAAAAAGAAGTTTTAAAAAAAGAACGAGAAGACGACGGAACTCTGCAAGCTCAAGTTTTCTAAAACTTTTTTCTCGTACATCTGTACACACAAACACACCAAATCGTAGATATAGCTGAAGGATTATGCTGGTACAAATGTGTTAGGTACGTATGTGTGTGTGTACGTCAAGCACGACACGTACGCGGAGCTTTCGGCATCATCGCAAGCGTCACGGACGTTCGCGCGGTGGATAAATGATGGATCGTCGCTCGACTGCCTTCCGATATATTACATACACCTCGACATTGAAACTGCCACGTAAATCTTTGGACTCCTCGGCCGCGCAGCTTATTACGGAGCACCGCCACGTTTTCTATGAAGAATACGAGTCCGACGTGGCGATCGCACACATTTATAATGCACGACGTATACGCGCGTGGCTAATCGTGACTCGATTTCCAGTCGACGAGCGTCGTAAATGAGAACGCGAGCTTTTTTTTTACTTCCAGGTGCTGCTTCGCAGCCTTTTGGACGATGCCAATGAAGGCTAATAATCGCCGGAGTCCGAGTCATTGTCGGGAGGGCAGCTTTTTTATTTCCTCCGACAGGACGAGAGAGCTCACGACTCAGAGGTCTGCGACTGAAAATAAGACGAATAAATAAAACGAAAAAGGAAAAAAAAGGGATGGAGAGGAAGCCGAGTAGATCCGTATGTGTACGCGTATACAGAGCGCGCCGGCCAGAGAGAGAGAGAGCCCCGTATACGTATACACAGCCCACAGGGACCGGGTCCGCGTGCCAACAGCTGATTAATCGTCCTCTGACTCGAGAGAAGATCCCTCTCGAGAGGTTTTCCTTCCATCTCTTTCTCTCTCTCTCTCACTCTGGCTGAACGTATACGCGTACGTATATATGGAGAGCTTTTCTTGCCTTTTTCGCTACGCCAGGGCGAGCGCGACGTATCGATGCCGCTTTATCTTGGCGTTGCGGTTATATCGTGCTTCGTATGTATATATCCCATACGCGTACGCGCGACAGACACGCAGACGCGATGTCTCCGTGCTTGCCCGGAGCCGAGGATGCGAGAGAATAAGATAAATTCGGTGAAGTACAACGAGGAAGTCACGCGATTCTTATCGGGACTTGCAACTTCGTTATACATAAAGCTCCTGAATGGCGCGTTAATTGTATGCATCGAATGAAAAAAATTTTTTTCGTCTCTCGTATTACGTTATCTAATCAACGAGAGCAGGCACGCACGACTCGATGCAATATTTTTAGAAGTTATTAATATATAACGTATGCGCGGGTGTATCTTATCGCAGGATGCGAGCTGGGCCAGCGCATGTTTAATGGGAATCCCAGAAGAGCATTTAGATATGCGCGCGGTTCGAGAGATGCAGTCGAGCATTGCTATGCAGCAGAAATCAACAAATAATGAAATATTTCTACAAGTATAGCGAGCTACGACGACACGATGACGACATCGGGGGCTTAATTCGTCGCGTTTCTGCATATGCCAAGCTTGAAAAGGGAGAAGATAGACACAGCTATTTTATGTGTATATATACAGAGAGAGAGAGAGAGAGATAACCGAGAGAAAGAGAATTGCAGCGAGCGATGTTTTATTTAAATGTGCCGCGTACCCACTTCGGGTAGAAGCGACGAGCCAGCCCCCAGGGGGGTGTCCTGCGCCCTATAGGCCTGCAGAAACGGATAGATCCGTCGCTAGTCACCTGCACTTGATGCGGGGCAGAGTATAATTCGCGATCCTCGTCTTTATTCATCGCTTCGAGTAAGCCTAGATCTTGTCACGCGATAAAATAATTTTCCAAAGCATCTTATTATTATTATTTTTCTGACATATTTATTCGATTTGAGTCTTAAATTTTCACATGTCAATGAACGTTACGTCGAGGCATTTGGCAGCCGCACAATCCCCCTCGGTAGCATCTGGGTATCAATCCTCTGCCGCACCTCGAGGCGCAGTCCTCGTCCCTCTGGCAATTGTCGCCTGAAATCAAACGCCGATGTCATAAACTTTCACGCAATCGTCGGTTAGTCGCTGTGCACTCACTGTTCCATCTGCTCTGGCCTTGAAATTGGCGATCTTGCGCGGCGGTGATCGCCATCAAAGCTGCCACTAATAACAACAAAAATAATTTCGAAAGCATCTCTCGATCGAGTTTCAATCGGTACCGTTGCACTGACTCGGCCGCGAGTCCGAATCCATTATTTATTCCGTTCGAGCAGTCACGAGCATAGATATATAATATAGACTCGTGCGATCACGTTGCATAGTTAAAGTTGACGATTTTCGATTTATAATATGCACAAACGCCGCTGGCTTAAGGAAAACGACTCGCTAGTGCGTCAAAGAGAATTCAAGGCTGTGCGCTCAAACGATACCATTATACGGATATATAATAAAAAAAAAGAAAATAAAAGAAAAAGAAAACTCGCTGCAGTGCAGTCGCGGATCATAATGAATCCACATCCCTCGCCGACGTCATTCTTATTGTTCCGATGCATCGTTCGGAAGATTGCATAAGTATGCGCGCGATGAAATTCTTTTTGTTACCTTTAACGACTCGCCTATACACACAAATCCAACCAAGTGGAGGATGTGCGCTATCTCAAGATTACGCATAGCTTGCGTTGCAAGACCCGAATAAAGGGAAATATTTAAGAAGCTCTTGCAGCAGTCAAGAACGACCTTAGCAGCCCGACGCATATGCAAAGAGAGACATTTCTCATTTCTGCTGCTGCTGCTGCTGCTGCTGTTGAAAGAACTGCATGAATTCTTGAGTGTGCGTGCGTTCGATCTCTCGCGGGGCCCCCGGCGATTCCCGCGTGGCGCAATTTGAGTTAATTCCGCTGCGACGGCGACTCGATTAAAAAAAAAAAAAACAAAATCTCGAGCTTCTCTGCTCTGCACGCGTATGTATACAGACATTACGTATGTATGTACATTGTACATATAGACACGGCCTGCATTGTCTACTATTAGTCTACCACTATGAGTTCGTCTTCTCTTCATCTTGTCGTTTTTTGATTGAAGCGGCTGCGGTGCCTGCTAATTTTTTACGCAGCGAGTTTTCTCTTGATCGAGATTGAAGCTAAATTCGTGTCATTTATGAATGCTTAATTTTTGGATAATTTATGTCTGTGAGTGAAAACGAAACAAAAATTAATATTAGAAGTTATTATTATCTGGTGTAACTCATATTTCAATGTGCGGAATTATATTCTTATCAATGTGAAGTTATCTCGAAAAAAGAATGAATAATTTCATTTGAACTACATTATATTTTGCTTAGTCTTCTGGCGGATGCACAACGGTGTAGTTATGTAGTGTACTTCTTTTTATTAAAAGATGCAGAGTGAAATCATGCAGTCATTTCAGAATCAAAACGGTTTGTTTGTGTAAAATAATGAAAAAGTTTGATGAAAATCATTACTCAATTGATATTTACAGCTGAAGACTTGGATGTCGATGTAGAATCTTACAATCAAAGTGCAAATCAATCTTTTCGCGATTTTATTCGCTCAAAATTTGTGCAGTTTAAAATTCTATACAAAATAAAAAGAAAATATTTCTTTATTGGTTTTATAATTGTGGCGCTCGTAATAATGAATATTATCAATATGTCCTGTTTAATGAATTCTGCCAAATCTAATTCTTTGGATGCATCAAATCGAGTAGAATTAATAAAAAAAGGTACCTATCGATATAATAAATTAATTAATATATTCGCCTCATTGTAAGTACTCATGTCAAATCGATCTCGGTTTATCTTCAAGATGATAGAAAGGAGGCAAGGTATGAAACAGCATCCATCCAAAAGACAGTACGGGATGAATCATCTTCTACTGAAATGAATATGGTTACTGTGAATTATAAAAATACATCGATCGATTTTAAAAACAATCTTCAAGGAGCTGAATTTAATAATTCACTTTTATTGCTGGAAGGAAAATCGTTATGGTTGCTGAACTTGGAAACCGAGGATCATTATAATTGGCATGAATCGAATAATTATATTAGTGAGTTTTACTTCAACTTTAAAGGTAAACCAATATGGTTCGAAGACCAATCGATAACAATTCATTCACAAACACCAGAGTATGATGGATTACCCCTTCCAGCAAATTTAAAAGTTAAGGCAATTGTTGATGATTCTGCCACAGGAAATTCTTATGTGATTGATGAGAAAGGAAAACATTTACTCGTCCTTAATGAATATTATCAACAATCAGCGGTTATACTTTCAGATCTCGAAAATGCAATAGATGTAAAAATCGATCCTTTGACCAGATTGATTTTCATATTGGCTAATGGTGCAATCTTAAGATGCCACATGGATGGTCAATCATTGAAAACATTAAAATCTTTGAGAAAAGATATCAGCGATTTTACGCTCGATTACAATTCAAAAAAAGTATATTCGCTTGATAAAACCCTTATCCAATATTCAGATTATGATGGCAATATTCAAAAAATTTTTCATAAATTTGAAACGTTCGACCACATATCTAGTTTGACATTTCAAAACGATAAATTGTTTTGGATGCAACAAGATGAGTTTTCAAAATCGCAATCACTGCAACATATCATATATTGCGAAGTCAATAAAATATGTCAAAAGCCTACAAAGATCACGGTTCTTTTTCACGAAAGTAAAATTGTAGCTTATCCAAATACATCCGTAATTACCATTGATAATAATCCTTGTCACCTACAGCCACCTGTTTGCGATCACATATGTATTTTGGTTGCTAATAGTACGTATACGTGCGCCTGTGATCAATTTCACCAACTCAGTGATGATGGGAAAACTTGTAAATTTATTGAGCATTATCTTATTTACCTCCTAAAATTTTCTTTTCGTGGAAAGTTCATCAATAATTCTTCCTCGTCTTCCAATGATTTAATTCCTTTTCTACCCCTGTATTTTAATTATGAAGTCGATCAATACCATGACAGAATAGTGTTTAGCAAAGGATCAAAAGATTTTGAAATTTTCATTTCTGATTATAAAAATATGTATAGCATAGATTTAAAGAATGCAGAACAAAAAATACTTTTCAACGGAACCTCATATAGGAAACAATTATCGTTCACTTATGATTCTGAAGCGGAACGCTTATACATTTTAATGAAAGATGGACATTCATATTGGATGCGAACATATGATAAACACATGATGATGCTTTCTGAGGTTCGCTCCAATGAACCCATGGCTTCGACATTTATATCTGTACCCTATTCAATGGTAATGCTAACTCATGATAAGCTTCTGTTATTGACTTTTAGTAGAAATGGTAATATTGCACAATTTAATAGTTCGAATAATCTTTTTGGGTATAATTGTAAATTACAGCAAAATGACCCGACAATACTTCTCCAAAAAAATCCTCCCTATCTGAATTCACGTAAATTTAATTGGTTGACTTTTCACTATAATAATGTAATATGGGGCTGGGGAACAATGAGAGATGATTACTGTACAGTAGAATCATCTGTAATACTGCCATCAGTATCATCAAACGTTAATAACGGTTTCATTTATGAAGAAAACTTGTACGTCGCAGACAGCCATAGTATTTGGCGTGTACAAAAAAATAGTTCGATTAACGCAAACATTATTTTCAAAAGTAAAGAAGATATTCGTGGAATAACGTATATCTGAAGGTACAAATGTAAGAATACTGAAAATAAAGAATTATAAAATATTTTTGAAACAGAATTAAATTCTCTTTTTGATAAAGTTATTTACTTAATTTTGCAATTTTATTCTCTCCATTTTTTCTATTGTATACCAGTGTAGGAACTCAAATTTAAAGACTGACGATAACCAAAAGAATTTATTAAATTCAGGTTAAGAGAATTAAGTTCAAAACATACAAATTATAAGAAAATTAGTTTTTTTATGTAGCTACAATACAACTTGCACAATTCAAATTCAAGTATTGATTAGTATTTATTTTTTACTCATGATGTATCAGACAATCGAATTGACTTAAAAAATTATCTGTACTCATTTTTCCATACAATATAGTTTAATTGAACAATCGATATCAATGTTTCGAAAACATTTGCTCGTATTTTTCGAAAAAATTGTTTCATAATCTGCAATCCATTCGAAAAATTCTGAAAAAAATTCAGACAGATTCTTTGAAAAATTTCAAAACTTTTGAACGGTGCATTATTTTCTTTATGCTTTTAACTTGATATAGAAAATCTCAAAAATTTTTAATTAAAATAGAAAACCTCTTTTAAAATGGGCTCTAAGGCCCATTCAATAAAACTAAGCATAGGGAACTTTATTATTACGTTCTTGGAGGCTCCAAAAAAATTTTGGTAGAGATCCGTGACCCGAAGGTGAGAAGGTCTCCTTGTTAGTTTTCACTACATTTTTTGAAACTTTACGCTTGACGTGACTTTGCGTACTTTTACAGAGGGTTACAAATTTAACGATTCAACTAAATAATACCGCGCTGTATGGTACTGGAAGAGTTTGCGTGAAATGACACATATAAGTATAATAATAATTGATAGCTATTGTTATTATCTCCTTTCATTCATAAAAAAGCTGGGAATCATATTTTTATCACTGAGCGGTTATCGCGAAAAGAGCAAAAATACTCTCACTCAAACTATAATTATTCTGCTCAGTCTTCATGCGACTCTGGCTGATACACTACGGTGAAGTTATTCCTGTAAAGTAATACATAGTTTAATCATGCAATCCTCCCAGAATCACGACGGTTTGTTTATGAACATAAATCAATAAATCTACTGTATACATTAGATCAATTTATTTCTGCAGCATCAGAATTCGAAGTCGATATACAATTTCACAATCAAAATGGGAACCCAACTTTTCGCGATTTTTCGCACACGAAATACATGCAACTTAAAACATTCTACAAGACAAAAAGGAAATATTTCTTCATTGGTATTATCATTGCAGTTCTGATAATAATGGATATTATCAACTTTATAAAAAAAGGTACGTATCAATACAATGAGTTAACCCGTTAACGCCGAGACGGACAGAATTTTTTTCTCTATTGTAGTCTGCAATTAAATCATCTTATCGGAGCGAGAAAAATTTTTGAGTACACATTTTCTATGTAAAATTTAATGAACTTTTTGAATATGGGTTTATAATTAACCTCTGATAAAAATTTAAAAAGTTATAAACAATTTACTGCGAAAAAACACGATTTTGAAGCTTGAGAAAAAACTTTGATTCAAATTTTTTTATGAAAGAGACTTGAACTGTATCCAATAATACCTAAAATTGTGGAATAATGACCTACAGTTTAAAGTACTGTAGGTGGGATTTGAATATTCAATAACTTTTTTTTCTTATGTTGATCGTTTTCGAACAGAAAAGTACATTTTTTGGAACATTTTTTGGTAAATTTCTTGGGAAAAGTGTATTTTTTGGAGTCTACCATTTTGAATATTCAAATTCCACCTAAAGTATTTTAAACTATAAGTCATTATTCCACAATTTTAGGTATTATTGGATACAGTTCAAGTCTCTTTCATAAAAAAAATTTGAATCAAAGTTTTTTTTCAAGATTCAAAATCGTGTTTTTTTGCAGTAAATTGTTTATAACTTTTTTAATATTTATCAGAGATTAATTATAAACCCATTTTCAAAAAGTACATAAAAATTTAAATAGAAAATGAGTACTTAAAAATTTTTCTCGCTCAGATAAGATGATCTAATTGCAGACTACAATAGAGAAAAAAATTCTGTCCGTCTCGGCGTTAATGGGTTAATTAAATTATTTAATTCTATTTAATTGAAAATATCAAATTATGGTTGGTTTTTATCTTTAAGATGGGCTAAAAGAGACAGAATATGAAACAGCATCCACCCAAAAGACAGTGAGGGATGAATCATTTTCTTCTGAAATGAATATGGTTACTGTGAATTATAAAAATGCATCGATCGATTTTGAATACAATCTTCAAGAAGCTGAATTTAATAATTCACTTTTATTATTAGAAGGAAACACATTATGGCAGCTGAACTTAAAAACGGAAGATATCTATCATTGGCATGAATCAAAAAATGTTATAACTGCGTTTTACTTCAACTTTCAAAATATTCCAATATGGTTCGAAGACCAATCGAAAACGACTCACTCACTAATACCAGAATATGATGGGTTACCCTTTCTAGCAAATTTTAAAGTTGAGATAATTGTTGATGATTATTACACGGGAAACTCTTATGCATTAGATGAAAAAGGAGGAAATTTATTTCTTTTCGACAAAAATTATCATTATTCAGCAGTTATACTTACAGATCTAAAAAATGCAACAGATCTAAAAATTGATCCATCGGTTAGATTGATTTTCATATTAGCTAACGGTGATATTTTACGTTATAACATGGATGGTCGATCATTGAAAGCATTAAAATTCTTAAGAAAAGATGTTAGTGCCTTCACGCTCGATTACATGTCAAAAAAAATATACTCGCTTGGAAAAACCGCTATTGAATATACAGATTATGAGGGCAAAATTCGAAAAGTTTTTCATAAATTTGAAGCGTTTCATTATAAATCTAGTTTAATATTTCAAAACAATAAATTGTTTTGGATCCAATATGATCGATTTCCGACAACGCCAGAATATATCATATTCTGCGAAATCATTAAAAAATGTCAGATGACTTTTAAGATCCCGATTCTTTTTCAGCAAAGTAAATTTATAGATTTTCCGAATAAACCAGTGACTAGTTTAGATACTAATCCTTGCCAAAGAAGTCCACCTGTGTGCGATCACATCTGTATTTTAAGTGTAAATTATTCTTATACATGCGCCTGTGATCAATTTCACCAATTAAGCGATGATATGAAAACTTGTAAACTAATGCCCTATTTTATTTACGTTCACAATTTATCTTTTCGTGGAAAGTTCATCACTAATTCTTTCTCCTCTTCCAATGATTTAATTCCTTTTCAACCAGTTTATTTTGATTCTAAAGTTAAGTTACATTTGCAAAAAATATTGTTCGCCAAAGGATCAAAAAATTCTGAAATTTTCGTTTCTGATGATGAAAATATGTACAGTATAAATTTGAGGAATGCAGAACAAAATAAACTCTTCACAGTAGCAGGACAAGATCGGATAATATTATCGTTTACATATGATTCTAAAGTAAAACGCTTATACGTTTTAGTAGATAATACTAAAACCTATAATAGTTACTTGAGAACATATAATACAGACATGGTGTTTGTTGAGTTTGAACTTCAATTGTGCTATCGCGGTGGATTCTCTTCAATGACGATAATATCTAATGAGCTACTTTTATTGAGTTATCTGAAAACGGGAGAAATTTTACAGTTTAATACTTTGGCTAGTAGAGGTAGAGAAAAAGTCAATTCGGAAATAGGTAGAGGTAATAAGATATTGTTACTTCCGAAAATCCCTGCTGATGTAAATTCACTTAAGTTTAATTGGTTAAGTTTTAATGGCAATATTACAACATGGAACTACGGATCAAAGTTCGATGACGAATTTACTATAGAATTAAAGATGATACTACCATCAACCTTGTCAAATGTCAATAAAGGTTTCATTTACGAAGAAAATTTATACGTAGAAGCCAACCATAGCATTTGGCGAGTACAAAAAAATAGTTCAATTAGTGCAAATATTCTTTTTAAAATTACCGAAGATATTTATGGAATAACGTTAATCTGAAGGTACAAATATAAGAATACTGAAAATAAAGTATTATAAAATATGTTTGGAACAGAATTCAATTCTTATTTTGAGAAAGTTATTTACTCATTTTTGCAATTTTATTCTTTCCAACTTTATGATTGAATTCTAGTTATCCATACTCAAATTTATCTATTAAGGACCATGGGTCATAAAAAAAGTTATGAGTCGGCAATTCCAAGGTAATTTCGTCGATCGTAAAGAATTAGTTTCTTTTGTGATATAGTTATGTCATATGCAAATGATCTATCGCCAAATTCAACTTACTCATTAATTTTTTCAAAAGATTTTTCAATCAAAAATTAAAAAAATCAAATCAATTTAAAAAAAAAAACAAATCAGTTCACTGATATCAATCGTTGATCTAGTATCAAGATATCTAAGATGTAATATTGATTTGTTTAAAAATGCAATTATTTTATTATGAACCAGGATTATCATTTTGAATAACTCTTGAACATTTTTTTAGTTTAGAGCATTTAAGATACACACGAAAATATATTAATATTTTTTAACCTAATTCACCACCAAAAATCGAGTGATTACTCAAATTTATCATGTTCATCAGCGTTTATTTTCGGGTAAAAACTTGTACATAACGTGCATGCAACTATGAGGTAAAATCACTTGTTATAAAATAAGGAATCGAAAAAAGGGCGAGTACCTGTTGTTTTCATTGTATTTGATGATAAATGTACACCTTCCAGCTATTGTGCTAGTTTTGAAATAAAGTTTTTTGAATGAGTATGATCATAATTTGTATTTTATTTTTTTCATCACAGTATATTTTTTTAAAAATTTCTTTTCGAGTATGAAGTGAAAAAAAATCAATTGACGTGCATAATTTCATTTACAGACTAAGCTCTCTGAACGATTCCACTATTGACCGACACATCAGAATATGAAATGGAAATCATTTGTCAAGTCCGAGTAATCGGAATGAAAACTTGACTGGATCGCTCTTGGACGTGCCTATACTGCGACGCCCAAAGTAAAATTTTTTTTCTTATTTTCCTCGTCTCAAACTCTGCTTATTCGTTCAAGTTTTTTTTCTGCATTTTTGCCCTATCTGTGTATTATAAATCAGCCGGCGATACCGAACGAATATGTGCGAAAATAAAACGTACTGGAATCGAGCATCCCGCGCAAGCGAGAGAAAAGGATGATTTGTGAGCAGAAACAATAAGCACCCTTCACATTATTTATTAGGCTAACCCATTTCTTATTTTCCGTTGATTTTCTTACCGGTGATTGGTTTTTTCATACTTTTTTTTTATTGGTACGCAAGATGAAAATTCATTAGTGTACTAATTATATCAAAATTTTTAAATGAAATAGTTTCGATACGATGTATCATTCCAACGATGCATGTAAGAGGTCACCAATCAAAGGCAACTAATCAAAACCACGAAAAACCAATGGAATCCGGCTGAAAAGTAGGGGTGGGTTAAAAGAACGACTGAGTAGTAAAGTAAAATAAGAGAAAAAAAATAAATAAAGAACAAAAAAAAAGGAAAAACGAAGCCCGAGAAGTCCGCTAAAAGTTTGATGGGTTACCGTTGAGTACCCATGGGATATAACGAGGCAGGAGCACACAGGCCAGGCATTGGTAGGCAGGCGGCGTCGCTCGTTTCGCTCCGGATAGAAAGGAGCCTGGCTGTACGTACATATATATATACGCCGCTCGAGAGCCGGTGTAAGGATTTTGGGATTCTATCAAACTGGACAATGCAATAATGCGCCTGCCTCTTATTTTTTCGCGTGCGCGCGCGCGACGCCCGCAGAGAAGAACGTGAAAAATAGGCGCTGCTGCTGCTGCTTCCCGTGCCCCGGTCTCACGGGAATGACGCCGTGCACGGCCTGCTTCCTTTTCGCTCTATGTGTGCGCGAGTGCAAATATACTATCCTGGGTTTTCCACCTATTTTTTTCCTTCCTTTTCTCTTCGTAATGCAGTACACATTGGGTGTGTGTTTCTGCATTCCGATCAGAGTGGCACGCCAGCGCCGCGGCTAATGATTTTCGTTCTTCGACCTACGCTTTATATCTGCGCCGAGCCAATACCGATCGCGACGATTTGTCGACGTTCTCGTACCTTTTTTTTTCTCGTGAATTTTAAAACGTCGCTTTTCGGGATTTCATCAGCGGAACGAACGCGCGATGACGCGCAAAAATCCAGGTAACCTCCAGTGTGTCATCGTTAGAGTCGTCCGGGCTAATTGTGCGCGCAACATTTTATTAAATTTGTCCTCGACACTCCGGTTCATTTGCATTTGTTAATGAGTTTTCATGGCGCAGCTGGTATATACATATACATAGAACCCGCTGGATTACACCCGACGCACTTGTGAAATGAAAACGAGCGAAAAAGAGGGCTCGACCAGTCCGCGCGTCGGGCCGTGTAATTTTTTTCGTTATATGAATTTGCATACTTTTCGCGTGGACGACGTCGACGACGACGACGACTACGCTTGCACAGGTACAGGCATTTTTTCTTCCTCGTGATCAGTTGTTCCATTTGACTACGAGCAAATGAATAATAATTTTTATTTTTAAAATATGCCAGGATGCCCTTTAGCGGTCGCCAGTATATGTTTGATAAATTTGTGCGATAAGAAGCGACAAAATCGAGTCAATTTCGGATGAATATTTGACAATTTGTCACTCGGCTTTATCGGGATCGTGGGTAGCTGCCTCGGTATGGGTCTGGGGTGTGTACCGGACCACTCGATGAGAAAAGAGAAGATAGTTCAAGTGTCTCGCTCGCTAAACCCTATACACACACGCAAGCTGATGTTGTATCGTAGATCACTCTCTCTCTCACTAGCTAGCCACACATCTCAGGGGTCGCATTATTATACTCTTTTCTAGCTAGACCGCGTTAAGGAAACTCTTTTTTTGGAGCCGGCAACGTCTCGCCGCTGTAGTCCACAAATTATACAGCCCTGATCTAGAAGAGGGTAAAAATATAAAAAAAAAATAAAAATTTAATGAACAAATTACAATGAATTTCGAAAAAATAAAAGATTGTAGAAAATAATATATCATAAAATAAGACTCTCTTCCACTGCTTCTTCATGTTTATTTCAAAGAATATTTGAATCTAAGAATATCGATTTTAAACTGAACTTATATTTTTTCTCATTTTATAATTTATTAAAATTTTTATAGAGATTACAGGTATGATACATTTTTAATTCTTGATGATATCAGTAGTTGAATCGTCAAAATTTCAACTAAAGTATTACACATTATATGAAAATAAAAAAAAAATCTTAATAATAAATTATGCATTTTAGTGGCCATCAGAATGACACAAGATACTGATAAAATAAAAAAGTAAATAAAAAAATATGTCAAGTGTATCAAATCGTTCATACAACTCTCCCTATTCACAAATGTCTCGAACTTTTTCTCGTAAAGACGTTCCTAGTTGGCCATTATATTCCTTCGAGTTTTATTTAACGCTCGCGACAGCACCATACGATCGCATTATACATTTCGAAACAAAGTATTTTTTCCTTTGAATAACACTTCGACATCCCCAAAGATAATAGCTTTATTATATATCTACGCGAACTAAGAGCTCTTAAAGCAGCGCCCGCGCGCGATACACAAACTGTACTACGTATATAAAGCCATCGTCCCTTTGACTTTCTCTCTCTCTCTTTAAATATCATCTATACTTCTTGACGCAAACTTTACGATATCAAAACCCTGGAGAGTAAAAAAAAAGCCGCTACTGCGTAAAACCCCTCATAACGCGTCTACCCTAGAATACGTATACGCTGCAGCCTCGACTTCAACCTTTTGACCTCGCGCGGTGGCGCAGGCGCGATAAAAGACATTATTCAAATTTGTCCTTTCCTTAGCAGCGTATTATAATATTTGGAATGCCTTTTCGTCTAGTGTACAGCAGTGTTTTCCTTTTTTTCCTCTCCCTCTCTCAGAGGCTCATCATTTTCTCTCTCTATATCTCTCTCATCGCGAGAATACGAGAAAAAAATGTGTGGCGTACGCAAAGCTTCAGGCTGGCACGGCCAAGCAGCAGATGTATGTTTGCGTGTGTGTGTGGCTGCCGCGAAATCTGAGCAATATCACGGGGATGTGGTCATCTTAATGGAGTCGACGCTGCCGACGCGGAAAGCTATATAAAGGTACGCATCAATGATTTTAATGAGATTCACAAGTCGTCGGCGAGTGAGTGAAGACCCTCGCGCAAAGTTATACATACGTATATACGATGTATGTTACTTATGCGTTAGACTGTGACGTGCACGCGCGTGGACGACCTGGGCACATTTTTCGGACATTTTTTCTCTCGTGTATCATTAAATGAAGTTTTCTTCGCTCGAAACGTTATAATGCATAAAGCTGGTTTCGACCTTTGAAAAGCTCATTTCGCGTAATCCAACACCTGTATATACACACATAATATCATCCGGCAGCCAGTCTTGGGATTGTATTTTGTTACATTTTTTTTGTACGCATCCGCACCATTATTAAAACCAAAAATCCTCCCTCATTTTCGTGGATAATAATATTATAAGCGTATGTACGTACTACGACCCTAGCGCGGTGAACGAGTTTTGCTGCGCGGCGCGTTTCCTCCTCCGTATGATGTATTACGTTTCGGGCTAAGCGGTTCGTTGGACTTAACACGATTAGCCAAAAGAGAGAGAGAGAGAGAAACACACGCACATCGGCACAAACGAAAAGTCCACACGCTGTATTGCTATATACGAAAAGCACCGAGAGAAGAGAGAGAGAGAGAGATAGAGAGAGAAGTGACCCTCGCTGCACATCCGTCCTTGTCTTGTACGCTCCTTCGCACCCTCTTTACCTTTGGTTTAACAATACCCTTGGCGCCACTGGACTTTTAACTTTATTTCCATGTTTATTTTCTGCTTTGTTAGGAGTTTATCTAGTACACCGCCCTGTGTATATACGTATATATCCACCACGTGCTATTGGCCTCGTTCCTCTCTCTCTCTTTCTCTCTTTCCTCTCTGTCTTTCTGTTTTCT